CCAAGGGCGTCAGGCTTCAGCTCGAGCAGCTTGTTCATCACCTCCCGATTACCACAACCGCGGTGCTGCTTGCGCTGCTCGTGGATGTAGTCCACAAGGGCTTGTTCGGCGTCGACTGTCGAAGCTTTCCCTCCGCTGTGAACCTGCTTGGCCTTCAAAAGCTTGGGGTTGGCGCTGACCTTCTCCCTGAGCTGCTCCTCCTGCTTCAGCCACTCGATGTTACGCTTCCGAGGCACCTGGAGAACTTTCGCCGCGCCGTTGCTTCCCACCGGTTGACCGTCCCACGGGCAGATCTCCCGTGTGTAGGCCGCCGCGTTCAGTTTGAACCGGATGGGGTAGCTACCGTTCCCTCACACTGCTCCTGACCGCTCGATCGGGAAGTTGGGCCCCGGGTACGCGCGTTTGCCATTGCTGTCTTTGACGGGGTCGTTGGCGGCTAGCATCTCATCGATAGCCTCGCCGGTTGCCTTCGGGTCCGCAGCGGCAGCTCCCTGATCCGCAGAGGAAGGACCGCCAGCACTAGCCTGTGAGGCCTGTGAGGCGTCGGCAGGTCCCGCGCTTGCACCCTCCGACATCGTAGCCGCGCGTTGCGTGTGGTCGAGCCCGCAGCTCCGTCCCGGGCATTTTTTTCCCGATTTTCCGCCGGTATTTCTCCGCCACGGAACTGTTGTGGTGGCAATTCCCCGAGACTCGTTTGTGTGTGCAACTACTAGCTTGTCTGTTGGTTGTGTTGTGATCGTGTTGCAGCAATACCATACACGCTGCTATACCTTGTGGTTTTCAATGTTAGGATCGCACATATCGGGGTCTTGGAACAGGGGTGTGCGTTGTTTCTTAGAACAAAGATATTTACTGCATTTCCGCACAGGAATCGCGAACTTGGCACATATCGGGGTCTTCGCACACCTGTGCGAAAACACTGAAGTTCAAAACATTCAAAAAAGCGACCACACAGTGTGCCAAGACCCCGATGATTACGGTACAGGGGTTCCAACGGAGGCGAAACAAAAGTGGCCACTTAATATGTCGAATCTGTCGCGAACTGAACAAACGAAAAATGCGGTACAGTATGTTTCCGTCGTCGTATTCAGGGCAGACATTCCAGAACACGTGGAACAAAACGAGGACAACACGGCAGTTTCGTGTGTGATGTTGCGAGTCGTTTGCGCAGGCGAGGAAAAGCGATGCCAGGAGGATTTTTCTACCCAGCGCTGAATATCAGACACCGCTGCGCAGCCGCTACTGAGGCTCAAGGGCTACCCACGGTCGAGCCATATCCACTGCACCTCCACGCCGCTCTGTGCCATGTGACCAGTGGCGAGCACTCTCACCACGAAAGCGGTGTAGACGTATGGAAGGGCTCCTCGCACAATGACGACAAGCCACGACACAGCCCGCGATACTCGGAGCGTTGAGAGGATGGAGGCAATGACACTGCGCCACACGCGTACGGTAGCAAGGGCAGAGCAGCTGCAAAAATACTTGTTGCTTCATGCATCACTCACCAAGGGAGTGGCAAGGCAGAAGGCCAGGCCGAAGAGGAGGACGGGTCCGAGAGGCCTGCAAAAAAAAAAACGAATAAACAAACGCGTTCCATTCCACGATTGGAGGGAGTCTGCTTCGAGTCCGGAGTGAAAAACAAGAAAATTGAAAAATTGACCCCAGGGGGGCAACGAGGCAACGAGATAGGAGCCAAGGCGGGACGAGGAGGAGGCTTTGACGTGTTTAAAGTGGCACACCCTGTTTGAAGACTCACTACACAACGGCGTGGGAACTCCAAAACAAGGCGTGTGTTGGTCAACATACGCAACATCACCAATGATCCATTCAAGGGCGAGCGAAACGCATTTTTATTTTTGTCATAAACGTCACATCAGCCCTCACAGCGCTTGCTTGTGCCGTTTACGCCAACCCGTGGTCACACAGAAGGGCTTCCCCCTACCCACCCCTCCTGCGGTACTTTGCCTTCAAATGTTAATGCGAGAAGAGTGCAGCATTCTATTCC